AGGTCTAAATTGAACACCTGGTACCATCTCAATTTCAACCAAGTAAGCGTTTTGCATGCGCAATTGTCCTGAAACAAAACAGTGGCAGCGGAATACTTCAGCACAGAGAGAGAGAGAAAAGAACATAGAGCCATGTTGGCATTGTTGTTGCCACAGATTATACATGACACACCGAATAAAAGGGGCTGATTGTAAGTTGTTTAAATGTATCAGAGGCCTGGGAGAGGAAACTTAATGCCTCAGCACTGGGATATGGAGAATGCGACTGGGCACGTGTGGAATGCAGAGTGGCAGGAGGAAAGTGGCAATCTAAATTTCTAATGCTGAGGATGTTTCCCATTCTGTGTTTATGAAACATGGCTGCCGGGACTACAAAGGTAAGGCGATACAGCATCAAAGTCTGCCCTGACAAAAACAAAAAAGCAACAATGCTGCAGTGGAATGCACGACAGAACATAATACTCCACCTCCTCCTTCTCCTCTCCCCTAAGCAGACTCATTTGATTACAGTGTAGCAGGCCCCAAATCAACCCCTTTACTCCCATCTCTCCCTTCCCACTGGTGCTGTGAGTAGGAGGTAGAACACAACTTGCCAAAGTGGCCCGGGAGGAGAGGTGATGTTGCGGAGTAGAATCCCTCATTTGGGGAACAAAAGAACATGGGAATGGGTGAGCCGAAGTGTCCGCGGCAATGGGTGGAAAGCGGTTGTTGTCCTGAGTGTGGAGACTGAGGCAGAGACTGCATGTCTGATGACGGCCAGGCAACGTATCGTTTACAGGCCCCCTCAGCAGAAGCCCCTCGCATGTCCGTCTCCAGCCACAGAGTTTGCCCTCTACTTAAGGCAACAAGAGTCAAGCTCGGCATTACAAGCCTATTAAAAGATACTTTTAATTATGCCCTGCTCTCCCGGGATCACTTCTTCCGTGAACTCTGTGTTTCTTTGGCATGTGCACTTAGGAATGGCACAACCAGAAGCACGTGTTGTTTTCTCCCTCCAATTAAAGGGCATGTTGACAGATTAAGGCTGCTTCTGGTTTGTGCTCCACTAACGCATTTAGAGGAAGATGATGAACATGGAGGGGAGGGAGAGGGGGGGAGGAGAGAGAGAGAGAGAGAGAGAGAGAGAGAGAGAGAGAGAGAGAGGCTGATAGAAAGAGAAAGAGAAAAAGAGAGAAAGAACATGCACATGAACCCTGAGGGATTAATGTGTTTACATTACCTGGGCTGTGATCTATCACCAACCTCGTCAACTTCTATTATGCATCACATACATAAGCGAGCAACAGACCTGGGAGCCCCTGCAACTCACTCATACTATTTCAATTGGATTAAGTCAGTGCAAATATCTAGGGCACAGCTCCCACACTGTGGTTTTAGCATTCTGGTAGTCATTTGATTTGTACGTTGTATCACTTTACCTTCATGAAGGCAATGCAGGAGTACCTCCTACATGCCTCAAGAGCTTTAAGTAGTATGGGATTTAGATGATTACCATATGGCACCTATAGCACCTTCAAAACAAACATGCTATTTAGCCGTAGGTCTGGTTGGAAAACAGTCAGGCGCGGAAGCTCTCAGATCATGAATCAAAATATACAGGTACACACCAGTGTGAGGAATAGGGGGATGTGGAGTATGTGGATTCACCATCTGTGATATTCACTAACATGAGGTTTATTTTGTCCCAGCTGTAGTAGCCGGTCTATAGTGTGAGTAAAACACTCAGTCGGTGGGGTCTGGCACATAGATGCTGACAGTGGAGTCTGCAGCAGGGCCCCTGAAAGAGCTCATAGTCACACTCAGGCTTCATTATATCCAATCAATATTCGTTTAGTCACTGAGCCTATTGACTCGTTTCTGAAATAATATTACAGGTCATTTGTCTTGTCATGGAGAAAGGAGAATTATCCCTTTTATACCATCCCCCATTCGGAAAAAAGGGGGTATGGGGTGAGTCTGGATACGCCCTATGGATACAACTGTAAATAAATATTTTTGATAAAACACTGAAAAATCAATGGGTGCTTCCTGTGATCCATCTCGAGCGAATCAATCATCATCTGCACAGCTGGCAGTGCAGTGCAGGAGGACGGCGTGGCAGTGAGAGAAGGGTGCAATCTTTGTCTGATACCTCTCATTTTGGAATCGCTTCTCATAATAGGGTCATCATTTCATCACTTAGCCAATCCAGAGCCCTGCCACTCAGCCTTGCGGGGATCATGGGGAGTAGGGAGAGGGGATGGAAGGGATGGAGGGGGGGCAGACAGGCCCCATCAGGAGTAAACTGAACACACACACTCTTGCTCCATACATCTTCATTCAGGTCAATAAAAGAAAAAGAGATCACAAGAACAGAAAAGAGATCAGAAAATAGATTCTCTCTCCTGAAAGCCATATTGGCTCATTGTTTTTCATGCTAATTGTGTGATTTTCAAAAAGCGAACAAAATCTTCAAGTCCCAATGGTGTATCAGCTAATTTGAGCAATGATTGTGATATGAGGAAAAACCATTATACCTCTCTGTATAAACAATCACAGAAGTGTAGCAACAATAGCATTATTAAAAAGTAGGAGAGAGCTAATTAAATTAGGCTCGCTGAAGCAGACAAAATAGGATAGTTAGAATACATAACTGAACGTTGTATTACAGCACATCTGCATATCCCTTCAAAAAGTAAATAAAGTCAATTTAAATGGTGCCACAGTAAAGTTTTATCTGCAAGTGTGTGTGTGTGTGTGTGTGTGTGTGTGTGTGTGTGTGTGTTGGGGGGCTGGGAGGTGTGCATTTCACTGACTGCTTGGTGACATGAGTAGACTTCCTCAACATGGATCTGAACAAATTCAAAACAAAGACAAATAGTCAAGTATTATTTTTAATACATTTAAAAAAAAAATTAAAATAACTTTGTAACAGTGACTAAAAAACACTAAAACTGTAGTAACAACCGATGTCATGCCTATCACATTTAAAATGCATAAATAAAATTACTGCTGTACTTTCATAATAATAGCTAATCATAGCTGTATAGGACGCCAGTTGTTTAGTCAAGTATAGTGCACATATGTTTAATCATTTAATAACCCCCTCTTCAAAAAAAAAAAAAAAAAAAAAATGCAAGGTCAAAAATAAATTACATCCATTATTTGCAGCAGATCTCCCCAAAGCATTTGGAGCGAAAACTGTTTTGAATTTCAATTGGCTTCCAAGTGGCAAAAGCCCTCAGCTAATACATCAAAGAAAAATTGGTGTCAACTAATCGGTTTAGGACACAGATTTAGAATGGTTAAAAAATCCCATGAATACTTCAAGCATTTTCTTTTTCTGTATACCACTAAAGGCTTGGGAGCAGTACAGCTGACCTTGTGCGCTCCAGAAACCTGTCCGCCACTCGACATTAACTGACTGTTTAACTCACCCAGCCACGCAATTAGTCCGCCACAACGCATAATGTTGTGTAATAATACCCTCTATATCCAATTTAGATTACACTTGCTCCCTCAGGCATTTTAAGTGCCATGCATCATCTTTCATTCACTTCTTCTTTGCCACGTAAAGCCGTTTTCATGCGTCAAAACCGAGGTCGCTCTTTCAGAGAAGAGGGGAGAAAAAAAGGAGAAGAAGCGATAACGAAGAGGAAGTGATAAAGTTGGAAGCTGCCAAAACAACAGAAATATAGATTTAGATTCAAATCAGCATAGTGCGTTAGGAAAAAAAAGCCCACTTTTGCGCATCTAAAAACGCGGACGCACATTTCCACATTTAAAAAAAATAAATAAATAAAAGCGTGAATGAGCAAAACTATACTCACCTACACCTCCTCTTTATCAGTGCAGTGCTGAGAGGTGGAAGCAGTTGCCATAATCTACTCCTATTATAGGCTCCGTGATCTCAAATTATGGGTCCTCCTCCTACTTCACAGAGCAACTCCAAACCATGAACGCATTAAGGAGGACACATGACACAGACTCCTACCTCTAGAAACTTTAGTCACATCTTTTATGTAATAAATACATACAAATAAATAATGTCACAAAATTCTGTATGTGAGGTTTTGGCACAAATGGTGATCGAATGAGGATGTTTTCTGTTGTCTATCTCGGGATATACATGGATAATACTTTGATTATAAGAGGACCGGTGTCTAATAATGATGCTATACCTTTTAACATAAGATAACTGCCAGCACCGGCGGGTTGGCTCTTCTTGTAGCTGTTATGAGAAAAGTTCCAGTAATTAGTTGATTGTCTGCACACCATACAGAAGGCTGTGAAACTAGGTCTCGTCGTATCACTGTCATCTGATTAGGCTATACTGTAGGCTCGCTTTGTGTATCCATCCTTCTTTCTTTACCCCCCCCCTCTCTCTCTCTTTCTTTCTTTCTCTCTCTCTCTCTCTCTCTCTCTCTCCCTCTCTCTTTTTAAAGTCTGCGTCGGCTCCCACTGTATCAGCGTCATCGTTCTTTACTCTCTAGAGGTTTTCAGAGCGTAAAAAAAAATAAAAAAAAATAACACGTGACAGTGTGTGCACACACTCTTTAGCAGCGCCTACAGCGATCCCTTTCGGCTTATCTGAGACCTGAACTGGAAAGTCAATCACCGGAATGAAAATGGCTTGTAGATGTCTGAAACATAGTACATAATATTTATAACAGCCCGCTATTATTTTAGTATATTAGTCAACCGCAACGTGCAAAGCGAAAATTTGTAATTAAATTATTAAAGTTCCAGATCTCCTTTTTAGAATCAATAATAATAATAATAATAATAATAATAATAATAATAATAATGTTATTTTCTGGACCATCGCATAACAGACAGTGCCTGATGCCTGTTAAATATAAATAAGTAATTGCCGATAACAGTGGCATATTAAATAAATCTAAGCTCTCCAGTATTTCAGCACTGAAACGTATCTGCAGTGATCAAATGAGATTACCTCCACTGGTCCAGGCGGATTTGGTGTAGTTGGCACTAATCTGCCCTGGCTTGAGGGTTTATGACTTTCTGGGAGTGTGTATCTGACTGGTTTATTCCAGGATCTATTGCAAAAACTATTTAGCCGTCGCCACAGTAAATCCTTCAGATGCAAGCGACGGCGCAGACAAATCACACTACAACAATCACAGCACAGAAATGTCTATGAGGCAACAACTATTCTGATAGAGTTGTTCGGCCGGAGACTGTTTGCGCCATCTTACTTTTACTTTTTCAGCCGTCGTAAATCTTACCAATGCAATATTCGTCTGGCGTTAGAAAGTCGACGCGCATAATAGCAGCAATCCATTTGAAACTCCCATTGCGGATTTTAAACACAAAGCGCACGGAGATCACGGAGCATCATTCTGTTGATTTAACGCACACACTAAAAATGACGAGTTTTTTTTTTTTTTTTTTACGCACAAAGAAAGAATAACAAAAAAGAGAGCAGAGCAGTGGAGCGCCTGTTTAATTCCTGCCGGTATCTTGCAAGCCCCATATCCTGGCACACAGCAGCCGATTTGTTATTGATCAACTGTGAAAGTGACGGCTTCGTATTTGGAAAAAAAAAAAAAAAAAAAAAAAAAAAGAAGAGAGTTGGGAGTTGACAGACTCGCATGATGTCGCCATCCAAAGGGGGGCTGCCAGGCACACTTGAGACTTACTGCAACGAGCCTTGTTAAAGAGGAAAAAAATAGAGAAATAGAGAATGAGAAGGATTGTTAGTTAACGTGAGAGAGGGAGGGGGTGAGGGAGAGAGAGAGAGCGAGAGCGAGAGAGAGAGAGAGAGAGAGAGAGAGAGAGGGAGAGAGCATGGATTTGGGCAGGGCTGTGGTTACCCAGCATAAGCTTGCCTTTTCCTTCGGTGACTACACCCCGAGAGGAGGAGCGTAGTAGGCGTCAGGATCCTCAATTTTTCAACTTAGCATCTTGGCAGGACATTTTCCCAAGCAAAGCCCCCGTCCGACGGGTAAAAAAAAACTTCTGCGCGGGCATGAGAGCAACGGTGCAACTCAGATAAGGGAGCAACAGAAAAACAAATCCAGACAAAACATCCGACGGGCAGTGGCTGGCTGGCAGCGAGCAAAAATAATCCATCCAACATCTAAGCCTCTCTTTATTTTAATCACTTTTACTTTTTGTCATCTCGATTGTCATTTAGAAGGGGGGACAGACAGCGGGTCTGCAGAAACACGGCTCTATGCGCTCCGACAGCAGCAGCGCATGAGAAAATAAAGAGGGGGAAAGTGCGCAAGTTAAGTGGCTTATACTCTCCTGGCTCCAGCATGGCGTATCCTCAGGGCTATTTGTACCAGCCGTCCGCGTCTCTAGCCCTGTATTCGTGCCCTGCGTACAGCACCAGCGTTATATCGGGACCCAGAACCGAGGAACTTGGGAGATCCTCTTCGGGATCTGCTTTTGCGCCCTATGCCGGATCTACTGCGTTCACCAGCGCCTCGCCAGGCTACAACTCCCACTTACAGTACAGTGCAGACGCGGCGGCAGCTGCCACATTCACCTCGTACGTGGTGAGTAAACTAAAGGTGATTATTCAATCTAATAGGAAGCAAAAGCGAGGATATTAACTCGTTACAGAAGTCTTAAGTGTCCCCAGTGCATTCGGAGCCAAGCGATTATGGGAAATGTGCGTCAGCGAGGAGTGCATGGATATAATATTACAGAATGTCAAGTCCACAAAATACGTTGTTAAGTAAACAGAAGTAATTTAACTGAGTGCTGTGCTATTATATGGTTCTTCAGTAAATTGTAGTTTTTTTATGAGAGAGAGTGGGCAATGCCTTGCCGAGGCTTCCACGCTCAGAACCGACTGCAACGGGCACTGTGATGACAATTTAGGTCACTGTATTTGTTGTTTTTCTCATCCTATTAGTAGTGCCAGTTGTACAACTTAAACATTGCGAATTTTGACAAAAGAAAGAGGAAAATTGTGTTTTATTTTTGTTGTATTCTCTGTGAGTGATCTCCCCACACCATTCATTCAAGGGACTGAATAAATAGGCCTTGTTACTAAAAAGACAGATCGCTGTAGGAAAAGAAACTGAACGTTAGGCCCATCATGCTCTGTGTTAATATATTATCATAATTGCAAATTGTATTATTTTAATAGCGAGAATAATGGCCAATGCATGCTGACATCAGGTTAATAATTTACATGCACAGAAAACATACATTTCATTTCAAATACCCGATAAAGTTCAAACACACACCATAAACATTAACTTTAAACTTGAACTACTGGATTAAAGCCAGTGTGTTTGTGCGTGCGTGTGTGTGTGTGTGTGTGTGTGTGTGCGTGCGTGCATGTGTGTGTCTTTCTCTGTGCGCGCGCATGTCTATGCGTGTGCGCGAATGTGTGTGTTCATGTTTGTGTGCCCTAAGTCCGTCTAACTATTGTGAAGCAGTTTAGAAAATGACTGTAACAGAACTTTAACACAGTTTTTCATTTTCTGATTTGTTTTTGTTTTTTTTTTTAAATCACAGAGTTCTCCCTACGACCACACTACGGGCATGGCCGGCTCAATAGGATACCACCCTTACGCAGCACCCTTGGGCACCTACCCTTATGGTGACCCAGCATACCGTAAAAACGCAACCCGGGACGCCACTGCCACCCTGAAGGCCTGGCTCAACGAGCACCGCAAGAACCCCTACCCCACCAAGGGCGAGAAGATCATGCTGGCCATCATCACCAAAATGACCCTCACCCAGGTGTCCACCTGGTTCGCCAACGCCAGGAGGAGGCTAAAGAAGGAGAACAAGATGACCTGGACCCCCCGGAACCGGAGCGAGGACGAGGAGGAGGATGAGAATATTGATTTGGAGAAAAACGATGACGACGAGCCAAACAAGCCCACAGACAAGGGAGACTCCACAGACACAGAAGCAGGTCGGTGGTGCAGAAGAAAAAAAAAAAAAAAAAAAAAAAATCATCAAAAAAAAAAATCATCAATTTTTCATCGCAGTCGTTTCCACTCAGGGTGCAAAATTGATTGCTGGTTAATGGTGGTATATTATTTATAATGGGACAATTGCTTTAAATAATAATCACCTTGAACTCCCCTCGTTTGACTTCTCAGGGGCTGAAATTGCTGGTGACGCAAAGTGTTTAGCAGTCAATTTATCTTTAACTGCATAATAAGGATACAGCTGGTGTATTGCGCCCGCTATTCGGCTAAAAAATATTGCCTTTGTATGATAATTATATCCCAGCTTTGAACGGTTGCTGAATGCTTATTATCCCAACTATTGATATGACACGATTATATTTAATCCGAAAATATATTTGCAAATTAAAACAGCAAACATACTGTTTGCTCAGACTTTAATTTGGACCACATTGTTCGCGTTTGTGCAACACTGTCTCGTAATTGTGGAGAGGAGTTCATTCACCTTTTTTTTAGGCTGGCATCTTTATGACGACAATTTATAGCACACACAATAACTGTTTTTAAGGGAAACCTTCATAAGTGGGCTAATTATTTTTATATATCCGATTTCTGCTCGCACTGGTGTTCTCTTGCCTCACTTCACCTACAACAGATGTTACAGTTTTTATCAATGTTTTAATGTTACGCTTATTTGGCAGTGATCCTATTCTTTAATTTGTGCTTTAGATCATAAACTGCTGAACCCAGGGGACATAGGCTGTGACAGATTTAAAGAGGAGAACCACGGCAAAGACACGGATCCCCTTCTGAGCGACTCGGAGTTAAAAGACCAGGAGGAGCGGACTACAGAGTTGCTGCCGGATTCCGCGAAACCCACCACTTCGTCTCCCTCGGCGGTGCCCCGGGGGAACCAGGCCGTTGCGCAACAAGACAAGCCGTCAGATTTGAGCCATGCACAGGGTACGGTGACCAGCAACGTCACCTCTGTTATCCATTCGCCTCCTTCGGCCCCTAAACCCAAACTCTGGTCCCTTGCGGAGATCGCCACGTCCTCAGACAGGTGTAAGAGCAGCGGCGACGCGCCACAGGCTTTGGGTCAGAGCTCAGTAATGGGCACCAACGCGTCTCCATCACGGTCCTCCCCTCAGTGCCCGCTCCCCAACAGCACGGTCCTATCCAGGCCTCTGTACTACACCTCCCCTTTCTACCCCGGCTACACGAACTATGGTGGCAGTTTTGGACATCTTCACAGTAACCACGGCTCCGTAACCACGGGCTCCACGGCACATTTCAATGGATTAAACCAGACTGTGTTAAATAGAGCAGAGGCTTTGGTAAGGGAGAGCCAGAAAGTCAGAGGCCAAACGCAGGTAGATCTTTGTAAAGACTCCCCTTATGAACTAAAGAAAGGTATGTCAAACATTTAATACCTGAATATTTTCCACTCACCGCGGACTTTTATTTATTTTTTGTGGTTGCATTAAAAAAAAAAGAAAAAAGAAAAAGAACAATGATGAAGCAAATTCTGAGAACAGTTATTTTCTGAGTAAATGCTTATCCTCAGATTTTTAGTTTCTGAATGGTTAATCCTAAAATGTAACAAGAATGGTCTTAATCGCTGCAGCCGCCTGAGTCTATTTGTATTAAAGACTAACATGTATATTTAATGTAGCATTTTTGTATTTAAAATGGACAACACACTATCTTTGAAGTAAATTATGGAAAAAAATTATATACTTGTGCAGCGATTATTTTTGGGAGCAGTTGGCATTGCCTGATATGTGTCTGAAGTGCTTCAAGGCCAATTAATTAATTCAATATTAATTCAATTTTGCACCGTGACAGATGTTTCAATGGTAATCATCATCTCAAAATATTATGGTACTGAGAGTTCTGACAGAAGTGAAAGAAAAGGCCTGCTTTCAAAAAAAAAAAAAAAAAAAAGGATGTTGGAATATCGAAACAATAAAAGGGTTCAGTTTCGCTTTGGTTGGTGCAAATACTCCCAGGGTTTTTTGTGAATGAAAAATGCTGGAAACAACACGTTGGTATATTTTGGTGCATGGCTTATCACCAGTTCATTTATTTTATTTGTTTCTTTAAATACAAGGGCCTCACACTTTTCCCCCTTTTACTCGAGCACGTTTCTGAAAGTGGATATTGATATAATAACAACACCGAGGCGCAGTCATTTAACCCAATTACCTATCGTGTTTTATGCAGAGCAATCAGGTGGTGAACTCCGGTAATGAGCTCGATTTTATGCCAAATTTAGACCTCATTACTATTTTCCAAGGCGTGGCAAAGCTGTTAAAAGGGACGCGACCATGCATTTAGAACATACTGCCCTATTATATATCATTAATGGAGAGTCTCTTTAATGGCGCGTTAGATGTGAAACACTGGTGTTTGGAGGAAAGGGAGAATGCTGTCATGCACGCAGCGGAGACTGATATTATTGTAGTGTGCAGCCGGTAGCCAGGCACTGTCCTCTAAACTCTTCCAACTTCTGCAGGTAGGTGTCACACTTGCTCCTAATTTCAGGGGGACTCTTTGTTGATCTGTCACGGAAACCCATCCCTGATCAAATGGCCTAGTTAAAAAGAAGTGGAGCCAATGGGGCACCCACAGTGATCACACTTATTATGAGGATTATAGCAACTTTGACAAGAGGATAAAAAAAAAAAGGCACGAATTACATACTGGACCAACGTAAATGAATAAAAGAAAGATGTTTTTGTTTTTCCTGATGGTTTATTAAAGTTGGACTAATACATTAAAAGGAAGGGGGAAAATGACATGCTTTAAAAAGAAAATAAGCATAAGAAAGAAATATTAATATAATATTTTTTTATTAAATATTATTGTGAAGCCTACTCAGTATTTTAACAGCTGTGGGCCACTAAGCCTTAGTAGCAGGGGCCTACATATATATTTTTAAATACGTTTTGTATATATATATATATATATATTCGTTTATTTGGTGGTTGTTACAGTACATTTTGAAGGGCATTAAATTATGATTATGATTATTATTATAATAATGATCATTATTATTGTTATTATCATTATTATTATTATTATTATTGTTGACCTCCAGTGAAGTGGGACAGCATGCTCTTGTTTATGGCTGCCATTAATCTCTATAGTTTACTTTCCCCTTCTCCAATTTGAAATCTCCCCTGAGGTTTATATAATTCCCTTAGCCTTAATGTCCTCTATTCGGGCCCTCTATTTTAATCTGACAGAGTGTGCTGGAGCAGTGATTGCGACACATCAGCCGGCTAAATAGCATAATTATGTTTTTTCTTTGCTGATCCCCGGGGGATTGAACTGTTCGATGCAATGTCCCCTAAGAGAGTATTAGAGTTTTATTAGAAATTGGGCTGTTTTCTCAGAATTGATTGAAGAAGTAATGTTTCTCAGGGCCAATACACACACTATTTCTGCGGTGTAAATCATTTGTGCGAGACTAGGTAAATACTGTGACGTCCACATGTCAAGTGGATTTTTCAGGTGTGTGTGTGTGTGTGTGTGTGTGTGTGTGCGCGCGCACAGAGCCGGTTGATAATGTTTTTCCAATTCCAAGAACTTTCTTGCTTTAAAAGTATACGGAAAATGTTGAGAAAATGAACATCTCCCTGTTAAACTAGATCCTGAGAGCTTTTTTAAATGCTTCAATGTTTTTCGGTAGACACGATTTTGAGGTGATTTAAAAAAAAAAAAAAATTCTCCCCAAGGATTTTCAAATTATTTTATTTTTTTCTGGCATAATAGCTCTTGGATGCTCCTGTAAAGTCAATAATCCTTTGCACTGTAATTGAATATATTATAGATTATATTATATGTTATTGTTATTGTCATTATTATAATTATTATTATTATTATGCCCCTGCAGAAAAGGTATGGTTTAAAGTAAAGCAGATATTATATTTTTAGATCATTGGGGGAAGCCACGACAGCTTTGATGTCACTATACTTCAGCTCAATGTTCACCTACAGGGCATGAAAAAAAAAAAAAAAAAAGAATACCCTCACTCTAATTAAAAATATATATATGATGGTTGATTATAGGCTACTTGTTCTATTTCTGGGCGCGATAAAAGCCATTCAATTAACCCCAGATTGCTTGAGGAAGCGGAGCGAGAGAACTTGCAGCCCTTCATCAGACGCACGGTAGCCTACAGGGGAGATGCTTTCTGCAACTTTATACAACTTGGTCCCTGGCTTCCCCTCCACTTGAATGGCGTGTCGGTTCATTGTTGGGATTGCTACAATGTGAGAATACTAAGTAGGGGGTGAAAACGTTCCCATGTGTGAAAATGGGGGAAAATAATCCGACAGGAGGGGAAGCAGAGGAGAAAAAAGAGGAGGATAAGGTCTGTACCCTTCACTCCGACTTTGTTACTGTTGAGCGTTCAGAAACAGATACCGGGGTGTTTGGGGGAAATTCTTCTTACTACTGTCTTCATATCAATTAAACCATTTTTTTTTCTCCTCCCGAAAACTGAAAATAATAATAGCCCATGTCTATACATGAAGAGTAAGGGCCGCGACTCACGCTTAATTCAAATTTACTGAATTAACGATTTAATATCCAGTTTAGACCTGAACAATGTAAACACACCTTTTCACCCGGCTGTCTAAAATCGAATTAATGTATAATTTGTGTATTGCTCAGAGTAGACCTCATATATATATATATATATATATATATATATATATGAGGTCTACTCTGATATATATATATTAAACTATCTTATTCTTTCTCTACATCTACAGAATAAAATAAAAAAAAACAGCAACGGCTTTTCTGCTGGTGTATGTAGGCTATTTACTCTAAAAGTAGACACATTCATGTGTGTGCGTCGGTGTGTTTGGTGTCATGAGGGAGACTTTCAGTGGTGACTGAAAATAGTGCTAATATAAGACTAATGAATAACAAGAGTAAACCGTGGTTTCTTGTTTGTTTTCGACACTTTTGGGAACGCTAGGATCTAATGAAGTGAAAGTTAAGTCTGGCATCTGTGGCCCCGTATCATCCTTTTATTATTGTAATTATCTGTGCAGCCTAGTGTGCAGCCTAGTGTGCAGGTTTATCAGAGGTAAAGCCACGTTATCCAGCTTTTTAAAAAATTTTTTTTACCTAACGTGTGATTTTGTTGTCCAGTGCGTAAGTGCAGGGGTATTTAGAAAAGATGTAGCCTAACATAAAAGGCCAATCACTAAAGCACCAAACAAATGATTTTCCTCTGATAGAACTTTTAAAGCTAAATGCATGGCACTGGTTAAAGATCCTATCTATTTGGAGGTAAACATCTATCAAGGCATTTTAAAACGCGCAATGAAACTGTTTATATAAAATGCCATCTGACTGACAATCTACTGGAGATCAGTTTACCCATCACTGATATGACACTATTCAAAGCGGACCTGCTGCAAACTACAAGCCTGAGATATCAGTAGTTTGGCACGGGATTTGCTGCAGGAGCAGACTCGTGAAGAACCTTGGAGCTGTGGACCAAACAGATTAGACACCTGCCACTGGACAGCTCCGTGAACGCCTCCTCAAACGCTACTGTATGTCAGAGCACAGGGTGAAACCGAAACCTGTTGATAAACACGCTCCCAATATCGCCGAAGGATTACCCAGCGGGCCAAGAGCTGCTTCGTATAAACAGCCCACTGATAAAACGTCCGGCTACACGATACAACACATACGAGTTGGGGGTCAAATTCAGCTCAAATGCGTAAATAGACTCCCGCTGTACTTGACCCGCACAGATTATTCGCAAGGGGGGTGGCATCATCAGCAACACGGGTGTGCTGCCAAATAGGGTGAAAGAGAGGGTTGGAGGGAAAAGGAAGGCGTCTTTTTAAGTTGAAGTTTTTCCCTGGATTTTCTACGTTTCCTCTTCAACTTCAAAATCAAACCAAACAAAACAAAAAAAAATACTATATTTTACACGGAGAAGCTGTGTGTCAGCAGGGAGACTTTTATTTCTCTAGCTATATAATATAGGCTAAACGTATAAAGCGCTGTTATTATATTCCTATAACAAATACTTTATTTTGCTCTGATTTGTGTAATCCTTGCATACTGTGCCAGCAGAGCATGGGCATTCTTTTAGGGTTTTAAAATGTAAAGAAGCGAGCGACTCTTCTTCAGTAAGGACTCCAGTAACTGCCCGTGGCTATTTAATCATCATCATTTCCTAAATGAGAGGGCTAATTAAGGACACAATATTTCAGCTCTAGTCTTCTGGAGAGACTGGAGACTGCAGTCGACAGGGTATGCGCTGCGTTTGCGCACAAAAACCTGTTAAACAAATTCAATTCTGCTTTGAATTCAATTTGATTTCTGAAACGCGTGTATTTTGGATTCCTAACTAAATATATACATTTATGTCAAGGTAAAGTGAGTCTCAAGCCCTTGGCACCTCGCACCTCCAACGTTCATGTTAAGTGGAGTTATAAAACGCTCCTGAACACACTGTAAAGCGAGCCGATAAGGTGGCAGAGAGTGATTTACCACTATTTTTTTGCACTTCACGGACTGTTTTTCTATTTCTCCGTGGAGTTCCTCTGGGAGAGATTACACGTGTAATTTTCAGCTGTGAGATGGTTTAAGTGTCCCCCCCGCCCCAAACATAAATAAAACATTTCTATGAAGAAGGGGAAAAAGGGAAAAAAAAAAACATTAATGAAGAGTGATGAACTATGAAGTCCTAG